AAGCTAACAGTCAAAAAAACCTTGAAAGATATAATGAGTCTGTCAACGCTAAAAAAAAAATAGAAATACCATCCAATGGTCAAGCTAATAGACTAAAACGGACATCATCGGGCATTGATACGGGAGGGTCATCATCACTTTGATAACCAGTGCTCTGCTTCGTTCTACCGTGTGTGTACAACAAGTAGGTATACCTTTGTCTCTCGATATCAACATTGAACTTCTTCGTAGTAATGTCAACATTGGTTATGAAGTGCTCAGCGTAAGATGCAACGAAAACACCACAATCGCTGCATTTAATAGATATAAAATACATATTACAATCCGAACATTTAACAGAAGGTCGCTATATTTTTTAATTTATATTTTCTGGATGAGTCTACTCACCTCTCCATTTGCTGTGGGATGTTGGCAGCCATCAAAACCTCAAATGGACTGTTAACGTCTGTTGGTATGCGACCCCCAGCATTAGTATTGACATCAGTCCTTTTTTCGTAAAATTTCACCAGGGCAAGAAAAATTGGAAGCAATCTAACATACGCCTGCACACTTTCTAGAACAATCTCATCAACTTCAACTGAACGGTACGAGTTATAAACCCAAAACTTCATATTGTTGAACGTCAATATACCCAGTATCCAATGACCAATACCATTGACTTCTACGTGCATTAGAAACAAGATGTGATCAACATCAAACCATGACTTTCCGCATATAAGTCTATAACCCAAAATGTAGTCAGTGATAATATCGTGAACACTGCATAGAGCAGTATTGCAGGACTGTGACAGGTATATAGCATATAACGACTTTATGTCTTGGTCAAACATCACATCAGTCGTTGTATACCTAACCTCAGCACTAGTACCATGCACACCAATCTTCCGTAGGTAGTAGAACAAGACATCCATGTGCTGTCAATGGAAAAATATTTCAAAACCAAAAGAATAATACTAATATATAGATAATTATGTATATACATATGAAACGAATGAATAACCGAAACGCTAGAAATGAAGGAATATTAATTTGTTAACACTTACGCTGCTATCAAGGAAGCACCCTGACTCGTAAAGGGTGCAAAACCAATTTTTATCACATATAACGACAACATTAAAATCAAACGGGGGGTTCAGAACTTTTGTTCTCACACCATAGCGAGTGTACTTGTTGAGTTCATTAGTTGTGTCAGAATAATTGTAAATAGTAATATACGTCACATAAACAAGCAATGAAAAAATATGTCAATTTATATTAAATTGTATGATGTCTCATATCCTGGAAAGATATACTGCTCAAATACGTTTAATAGTTCGTCCATCGACAAGATACACTGACTATATAAAATGTCAATATAATGTGTTCATATAATGTTCATATGTTGCATATACACTGTATTCAAACAAGCCATAAACAGGGGGTTCAAAGTTGTACTTTAACTGAACAGAAACAATATATGAACATCAAAGATATTGGCCAATAAACTGTCTATAAAAACAATTCTAATTGACTTCAAAATTTACGTGTACTGTACATAACCTGCCCATAAATTGTTCATATAATGTGCATATGCTGCATATACTGAACAGTTGTACAAAGTTGTACATAACCTGTCTATAAAATGTTCATATAATGTTCAAAGTTGTACATATACTGAACACAAACTATATAATGTTCAAAGTTGTACATATACTGAACACAAACTATATAAAATGTCAATATAATGTGTTCATATAATGTTCATATGCTGCATTTACACTGTATTCAAACAAGCCATAAAGAGGGGGTTCAAAGTTGTACTTTAACTGAACAGAAACAATATATAAACATCAAAGATAGTGGCCAATAAACTGTCTATAAAAACAATTCTAATTGACTTCAAAATTTATGTGTACTGTACATAACCTGCCCATAAATTGTTCATATAATGTGCATATGCTGCATATACTGTACAGTTGTACAAAGTTGTACATAACCTGCCTATAAACTGTTCATATAATGTTCAAAGTTGTACATATACTGAACACAAACTATATATAAATTGCAAATAAAATTTCCACGAAAACTGTCTATGAACACAAAACTAACTGACTTTAAATTTTACGTACACTGAACATAACCTGCCCATAAAACCAATAATATTCGTATTAGACTAATAATAAAAATTAAATAATATTAAAGGAAATCATTGAGCAATCTGTAAATTATATGTACTATACATATACTGACCAGATACTATTTACAAACAATAATTTTTTTTATCTCAAATTTGTTTGTTTCGTACCCGTCTTTAAACTTGCGCGCTATCTTCAGCATACCAGTCATATACCATTTCCCAAAATCGTTTGCCTGCTCAGGTTCTTCCCAGAAATCAACGTCAAACGGACACGATTTTGTTCGCGGAATTCCTTTCCTCACACAACGGCGTTTCTTGAGTTTTTCTATTGTCTTTGAAGTCCCCATATGCGTGGTTTGTGGGTTTGGTACGAGTACAACGTCGTAGCAAGAAGGTTCTGCTTCGTTTGTCTTTTCATGTTCTCCAGTTGCCATCTCGTGCATAACTTTTGTAGTGATCTCCTGGAAAAAAAAAAGAAAAGAATAAAGGTTAAATATATGTGTTGTAATGAAAACGATTGTTTTTTGTATTATTCAAATCAAAATATAAATAAAATTTGACCATTGGATTTTCCTGTGGTGGTTTGTTGATAACTCTTGATGGGTCTATGGGTGTGAGACCTAAATCAAAGGACGGCTGAGAACTAATTAATGCGTTACCAAAATCTGCCACCATCTGGACATCAACTTTGGGGGGTGCTAGATCCTAAACAATTTGATCCAAAAATAAATCATTAGAATAATATATAGACTAACTTGCGTTGATGGTTTAGTTATATAAATATAGTGAACAAAATTAACATGATTATTACCAGTTCATTGGCCTTTGATGCATTCCTCAATTTTTTCTCCGTACTTCTATCAACTTCCTCAAGAAATTGCGTTGTGAGCGGAGAAAATATGTCAGCTTGATCAAACATATCTCCGCAGACTGGTGGAGACGGCTCACGAATCTGATTGAAATTGATAATATAAGTTTCTTTCAAAAAAATCAGGAAAATTACAGATATATATATATATATATATATATATATATATAGTTGTGCTCAAATGAGAATGGAGATTAATGAGAGAAATAAGAATTAATACGGAATTGTTGGATCTAATATCTCAACGTTCCAGATATAGCCACGCAGTTTTAAATACTTGCAACTTAGCGGTGGCATTCTCGTAATAATGGTCGAATGTTGTGGTCAATAGTGCAACTGTGACGGTAGTATCATCCTTCACCAAAAGCAGTGGGAATTTGATGGGTTTCGGGCACATTAATTGATGCAGTAAATATGTCTCGTCGCTCAGAGCTCGAGAGCTAGCGTATGGAGACGGTGAAAAACTGGTAAGAATTCCTTTTAAAAAAAAATAACGCTGTTGTAGACGATTATGAGCATCTTGTAACATCTGTGTATTTCTCGCAGATCCGTTGTTGATAGGTTGAAGACAGTTTATAGTAGTCGTTCATCGTTTTGGGTTAATAGCACGCATATTAGCAATGGGTAACTCTCCCAAATTGGAGAAATCAGGTAAGATTCATGCTCATTATGTTTATATTTATATAGTATTTTTACTTTTTTTCGTTGATTTTATTTGGTTCTTCTTCAGATTGTATATCAATATCTAGGGCTATAATGTATTCGGAGGTTTTTTTTGTTTATTGTTCTTCTTTCTATTGTGTTGTCGTAATTTAAACTGTAATATGACGATTGTGTATAGTAATTTAGTTTATGGGTTTGTGGGATTCATCCGAGTTATTAGTTTCTTTTTTTTTTCCTTTTTTTTTTGGTGTCATTCTCTTCTTTTACATCTTGCATGTATGCTCAAACTATTGATAATGTAGTTGTTCAATTGTCTTCAAATTATTGTTAGATTACCTTAATATGTAGTGTCCATAGTTATAATGAATTGCTTTTTTATGTGATGTAGAATAAACTTCAATTGTAATCGAACATATATCATAAACCTATTATACTATGGAATATCGAGGACAATTGATCTGGTACATCTTTTCGTGTGCTGATATTGTGTATTTACATGATCCTTTTGTGATTTAACTATGTTGTGTATATGAATGATACTATAATATTACATTATAGTAAACACCAACTCGTTCTTAGTTAGTTATAACATGCTATTTTTGTACGCCTTGATCTTCTCAATGCAGGTAAATGTGTTGCGGATACCGACATAACCGATATATCGCTTATTGCTTGGAAAGGTATGTTTTTGATATGTTATGGCGTTACAATACTTTCTATGATATTCAGTTTTCACGTTACGCGTGTACCTGGTTCTAATGATTTATACTACTTGCTAGCAACACGACGTCGTACAAGCTCTTCTTTAATGCAACAGACTAATACGCACGTTACGGCTGACGGTGTTGAAGAAGGTTAACATTTTTCACCTTATCTATTCTCATATGAGTCGGCCCATATGTTGCGAGCCGACGTTAATCTTATTAGATTGTTCATGTTCGCGTCGCATTTTATATATGGCAGTAGTAAATATTAATCACGATTTTTTTTTCTGTACGAATAACTAGTTGCTTTATTTTTCAGATGCGTCTCGTACGATTCCAGTGAATATGAATGAACCAGACAGTGTCCATGTGAAGCGTGCAAAAGTTTGTGAGCGTACATCAATCCTGCCTGATAGCGATGACTTTGTGGACGATTGCCCTCGTCCGCGTGTAGCTAAAAATACACATACACGTGATGGTATATACAACCATGTGCTGTAGTTTTTTCAAACAGACCTTTTTCATGAGCAAAATGCGTTTAAAAAATAAAATAATAAACAAAAAATATTATAAGATAATATAAGTTGAGTAATTTAAGTTGTATTCTATGTTTATAATACTGTAATATATCAGTATTTAAAATGGGTTGTATGACTTCTTTGTAGCGTCTATGCTAATTGTTGAACATGACATATTATATGAATAATTCTTGTGAATTTATTATTTTTTGTCTATTATGTTTCTTAAGTTAAGGGCAAGGACGTAATCGCTGAGAGCAATAAAACTGATGGCAACGATGCGGATGCCATTGGAAACAGTACGGATAGCGAGGATGATAATTCGTTCCCGAGCCTGGTTACAAGGTCGTCACCTGCTATATTTGTGAAGGCGGTTTCTGGCTTGTTAGATGCTCAAAGGCGCGATGTTCGTGATATGGGCCTTGGATCTTTGTTAGAATTGAGTATAACAGCCACACCATTGAAGATGGGTTTCTGGATAGTGAACAACTTCAATCACTTGGATCGAAAGCTGCATTTATATGATGGTGAAAAGGTGCACGTTAAGGAAGATGATGTGCATGCGACACTAGGCTTGCCTCGTGGAGAGATTGATATTAGGAACAAGAAGAAGAGAGCTACATCGGACCTTCTTGACGAGTGGGTTAGATTGTTCAACGTTCGGATTTCGTCGAATATTACTGCGTCAAAGGTCCTGGATAAGATACGCGAGTGTGAAGACGGTGGTGACTGGTTCAAACGCCATTTTATCGTGCTAATGGTCACCTGCCTGTTTGAGAGTTCGTCCAATGGGATGGCAAATTTTCGTATAGTTCATATGCTCGATGACCTAACCAAGGTATGCAATATGAACTGGTGTTCATATATGATCCGTTGCCTTGTGGACACTAAGAGATCATGGGATTCGAGCGGTAAACAAAAGAAGTACACTGGTCCATTGTTGTTTATGACGGTTAGTTCTTTTTAAATCTTTCCTTAATATTATTTTTTCTATATATTTCATTATTATCTTTCGGCTCATCTGAATCACCACTTATTTATTTTGATTATTTGATGCAGCTATTCTATGTGGACAAGGTTGTCCTGTCGATGAGATCGGTTTCAAGGTCGTTTCCCATATTTTTGTCATGGACCAATGAGTCGTTAAAAAATAGGGAGCGAGATAAGATTGCTTCTGGAGGTTTTGGGAGGGGGTATGTTGATGCAGACATGCACGTGGTCGTCGATCGTCCCAAACTCGATATAGTTGAGGATGTCACAACCAATGATAACGAGGTCAAGAGCACAATGGAACCCAGTGTTCAGGTATAATATTATTGATGTTAATGTTATTGTTTGTTATTGATCATTTGACTGTATGGTTTTTTTTTCTTTTTTTTTTATGTGATATATGATGTGCTTCACCCAATGTATAGTTGTGCACATCGTTGAATTAAAATGTGCTTTATTATATTTGTATCACTATGGTTTATGTATCTGTTTACTGGTCTTAATTTCACATTTATATGTGCAATTTTTCACTATTTGTTTATTACTATTTATGTCACTAATAGGCCTACGTTCAAGAATTTGCATCTAAGACTCAGCTACTTGCTACAATCGGAGATGAAATTTTGCAGCTGGTTAAGAAGGCACCACAAGTTCTTGTCGGAGATGAAAACTTTATGAAGATACAAGGCGCTGCGCAAAAGCTTCTAGGTTTTTATACGGATGTTCCTAAAGCACACCTCGGTCATCACGATCAACGCCAATGGAATCATACGGTCTCCCATGAGCGATACGGCCAAGGACAATGCGAATGGTTGTACATATTAGGTAGCAGACGATGCATTCTGGAACGATCCTGAAACATTGTCGTCGATAGATGCGATTTTGAAGGCGGCCGAGCGACGTGACCGTTTGAAGAAGATGCAGGTTGACGTACCCAGTTCTGTCTAGGCATCTGGTCGGACGACGATGATGTTGGTGATGCCCATCACCAACATACGAGCGGGATTGGTGTGTGTTCTGGACATAATGAGAAGGACCAAACTGTCGAGAAGTCACCCGATATAGACGTTCAAACAGGTATTTTATATAATTGTTGTTTATTGTTTAATTTTACGTAGTGTTTTTTATGTACTTTAGTTTTGTTATATTAATATGTTTTTATCATTGTCGCGAATATGATGTTGGGACTTCTGATGTTGGGTTGCACGACAAAGATCAAGTCAATGCAGGTACGTATATTATGTTCACATCTATTTAATGTATTAAATATATATATATATATATATATATATATATATATATGTTGTGTGCCATTACGGCTGCTTATGTTTTTTTTTTTCAAGAGACTGTTTGTGAAGTACCTCGTGGTAATGTTGTTAACGTGCCTGCGAGGCCAAAAAGGGACCCCAAGGCAGGCAGTGCAATCAAATCCCCTTTTATGAAGAGGGAGATTGATGTGACGAAGAAACTGGACGCGCATGAGAATATGGCTGTTAAATGGGTTCTGAGGAATGACCCTTGTGACGAGTATGAATATATTTATATATTGGTTATATTTTTAAATCATACACTTATATAGTCGTTTATATTTGTGTATTAGACTGCTTTAATCTCTATTCATTCACAATCTTGTGAAATGTCCTGTGGCGTGATTGTATTTAAGTCATCTGAATTCTCCGTGAAGAAGCCGGTTGTGGCATCTCTTGTTATACCCCGAGTTTTATTAATAAAGGAAAATACTAACTTTTAATTTTAAAGCTAGCCTTTGTTAATAAATAGTCATGTTCATGTTCAAGTTCAAGTGATTCAGCCAGTTATATTCCAAGTTCGACTATTAGTCGATGTGTCATTCGGTTGATAACCGAATAAGTTTTCAGATTCGATTCCGATTCATTTAATTAGTTAATGAGTCCGGAATTAATAAGCCAAGTTGACGAATTATTCGAAATATTAATGTTCGGATTAACCGTCTAAGTCAAGATACTAATTGAATTAACTTCCGAGGTCAAGTTATAACTGAAAATGAGTACGTTCAGCTAAGGTTACCATATATGAACATCGTCATTCCTATACAGCGACGCGTTCACATTTGGTACACCGTCCATCATTAGCTTATGCTTAAGCAATCGTCATTAACCCTTGCTTAATTACCTTAATCCATGTTTACATAATGAATCACGATTAAATTAAGGTTAATCATGATTAATTAAATGTTAATGATGATTAGTTTAAGCTTAATCATGCTTAAGGATAATCATGTTTAATTAGTAGTAATTGTACTTAACTTGCCTAAGTCATACATTACTTGCCTAAGTCATACACCTCATGCACGCATGTCATGTGTTACTCCGTGTGTTAATGATGATTAGTTTAAGCTTAATCATGCTTAAGGATAATCATGTTTAATTAGTAGTAATTTTACTTAACTTGCCTAAGTCATACACCTCATGCACGCATGTCATGTGTTACTCCGTGCGTGACGGCACGTTCCCGTGCCTGCGTAGTAAGCGCGCACTATTACCGGTCATAATCCTTTAAGTGTCGTGATCATGAGTAAGTAACCAAGTCTTAAGCTCCCAAGTACGGATAAGTCTCGGTGTGCAAGTGGTGCGGTGAGTCACCTGCTTGCTCGCACACTTGGCACCGCACGAGCGCACGGGCGATGACTAAGCCCGTGCATGCACGCCACATCGACCAGTGACCAAGTCAAAATGCCCAACACCTCAGCCACGACCTGTACATGTGGCAGCAAGAGAAGTAACGCCATCTTTCACCTCTTTGACCCAAGTTTACCCGACGAACTAGTCTTCCCTTTAAATAACCGAACGTGTGAAGTTTCCTCATGCATTTTTCATGCAAAACGAGCCCAAGTTCAGATTACAAGCGGAGGGAAAATAGTGAGTATAAATACAGGAAAAATTATAGAAAAATAGCCAAGAAAAGCCTAAGCAAAGGAGACGCACTCGCACACCGTCGAGTACACCAAACGCACCAAGCAAGCACGCGCAAGCCACCGTGCATTCCTTGAGTAAACTGAAGGGTATACACTTAATTACCCTATTTTCATGTATTTAAGTTCATGTTAGGAAGATCATGTCAAAATCATGTCGTTCGGTTTAAGTTTTGTGCGAAAATGGCCTCGGAAGTTCTATATAAGCCCTCACCGAGTGATGTCCGTTTTTATTCGGAAACTTACGAGCAATTCATGTCTCAATAGTCATTTTTTGATATTTTATGAATTATTCTGTCAAGAAATTGACTTTTACACGGGTAGAATTAATGTTTTGGATTTTTGAAGTTAATCGGCTTAAAAACGAATTTTTAGTTCCAAGCATGTTTTGACAAGGGTTAATAGCTTAAAAATCATGATAAATCATATATTAAAGGACTGTTAAGTTTCAGCAAGTTTCGAGCTGAAATGCTCGGTTAAGTTGATCGTGATTTTAGCCTATTTTCACTTCCGAACCATCTTTAAATCTAACCGAACACTCCCGAGTAATTTATGTGTATTTGGTCATTATATGTTATGTTATGTCCAGCTAAGTCATAGTTGCTGGAAAAAGTAGCTGGACGGCCGGCGAAAGGTCGACCGTAGTGTCTGCCTGCACACAGCGTGCGCGCAGCACGCCCGTGATACGTAAGTGGGTTTTGACCCCCGACGACAAGAAGGGCCGAGAGCCAAGACAACCCGAGGAGGCTGAAAATAGGGCCAAAACGACGCACGCATGGCCGAAAAGACGGGTACGAGCTCGTATGCGAGGCGCACAAGTACACAAGAAAGGGCGCATTCAAGAAGGGCGCGCACACGCGCATTGGCGTAGACACGCATGGCACTTGACGATTTGGCGAAGTGGCGCACAGGGGGTGGATGTTGGGTGGTTGATGCGCACGAGGGGTTACTGTGGATGGACGAGCGTGGCCAAGGGACGAATAAGCAAATGGCACGCATCGGGCCATGATGCGCGCAATGGGGCTACAAGCGATAGCGTGTCTTGGGCGTGGGGCGAACGCGGGACAACGCCGGGCGTACGCGGGTGCGATCAGGCCGCGGGGACGGCTGGGACGCGCAGTGCAGCAGGT